CAATCTCTGCATTAGTGAAGCATTGTAGGATAGGGGACATGGGGGATGCATGCCCTACCCCCAACTTCCTGGGGTGGGAGAATTAAAGTATTGAAGAGGTGGTACTAAGAGTCAGAAGAACTTGAAACCAACTACAAGCTTGTGAACTATAAGCCTTGGTTGCTTTGGTTCTGTGGGAGTGTAAAGATGACAGATATGCCCTTGAGCTGAGAATGAAAAGCAGTGGAGCACTAAGGCTGGCTGAGGAAGGCCGGAGAAGAAACTTGAGCATCTTAGAATTTAGAGAAACCCCGCTGCTCAGGAAGGAGCACAATGGTGTTTCAGGACCACGGACAGCACACCTGCCTTCTACCTACATGGAACCCAGAACTTGCAGAACACTGTCTGGGCATCCACCGTTTATTTGGCTGAAATGTTCCCCCTTCTCCTCCCTTTTCAGCTTCATGAACTTCTCATATCTCAGAACCCAGCTGAAACGCCCCCTCCCTTGACGACATAGCCTCTCTCTTTTCCTGTCGTCTCTGTAATAACAGCTTGGGTTCTGTTTTCCGCATCGCCAAGGTTGCTAAGCTAGTGATTTTGGGGTAAGTGTTGGTTTGATGAGAAAAGCATCTCTCTTTTCTCCTGAAGCTCTCCAGACCTTTCTGTACATTTTATTCTTCTGACTCTGGTGGAGATGAGAAGTGTTATTCCCACCAGACAGTGGGGAGAACAGAACTCAGGGAGGTTTCATGCTGTACTCGGGGATAAACAGTGATTCAAGAAATGCACTGTGTGCCAACCTGCCCTCCTGGCTCCCCTCCAGACTGCTGTTTCTTTTGCTGTTGTATGGGGGAATGCCTGAAGTTTCAAGGCTGGTTTTTGCGAGCAGTACCCAATATACTACCTTATGTTCACAGAGAGAACAAAGGCCTCCTGCCAGCCCCAGCTGTCTCCTCCCAGGTGGGGCTGGAAGGGAGGTCATTGCAGGTTTGGAGAAGAAGCCCTTCCCTTCCCTGGGCTTCTGACTCACAGGACAGTTGGCAGCAGACATGGGCCCTGCCCAGCCCCCAGGGTCAGGCGGATGCTGCAGAGGAGGCCTCTCAGCTTCACGTGCATTGTGCAGCCTCTATCCCCGGGCCGTGGGCTTAGCTCTCAGGGAATTTTAAAAGCAGAAAAGAGAAGTTTCTGATTTGCCAGTCTACTTTTCTCTCTTTCTGTTTTTCTCCTTCCTTCTTCCTTCCTCCCTTTCTTCCACTTTTTTGTCTCTACAATTTTTTTGTATCACTCTCCTTCTCACTCTCCTTTTTCAAATATTCTCTTCCTTTTTCCTCCCTTTTCCTCTGCCTCCTGTCTGTCATCCCTTCCTCTCCTCTCACCCAGCAAACATTTGCTAAAGGCAGTGCCAGCCCGCTGGTGGGTCCCTGGGACACAGCAGTGAACTGCACAGGGCTCTCTGGGTCACGAAGGGTGCCCAGCCCCGAGGGGGGTGGGCCCGGGAGCAACAACCATGAAGTGTGATGAGTGTTACGGGAGAGGGGCATGCAAGCGGCAGTGGGGAAATGGGGGAGGCCCCCCGAATTCTACTGGAAGGAGTCAATTACTGCCAGAAAGATATACTCACCCTGGAATGACCACCATATATAAAAGATTTGGCATTTTGCTTTTTCACCTACCATTTTATTGTTTCATGCTTTTGTGTGTTCTTAAATATCCCTGGGGAGTAGTTTAGTATCTGAGTGTGCCCCATTAGTGGTGTGGTGATATGATTGTAATTAATTCGGGATCACATTTTAGGGTACAGTTCCCTGCCTTTGCTTGGGATATTTTCCCAAGGACACATTCCCACCACTAGATTTCTAGGTCAAGTCATGAACAATGTTAAGGCCCTTGATACCTTTTACGAACTTGATGGACACTCACTCTTACTGAAAAATCCCAGCTTTTTTTTTTTTTTATCCTCACCCGAGGACATTTTTTCATTTTTTTGTTCAGATAGAGTGGGAGGGAGAGCAAGAGAGAGAGAAACATCAATGTGAAAGGGACACATCGAGTGGTTGCCACCCACACGACCAACCAGGGCTGGGGACAAACTGCAACCGAGGTACATGCCCTTAGCAGGAACCGAGCCCGGGTCTCTCGGGACCACAGGCCGACGCTCTAACCGCTGAGCCAAACTGACCAGGGCGAAAAAGCCCAGCTTTGAAGAAAGTGTAAAGATGATGAGTTTTCCTTCTTTCATTTCTGCCCAGTGTTGACATGATGTCTTAGTTCAGAAATTCTGTATGTCTGAGTTCCTCCCTGATGAAAACCCTTCTGTCACATCGCCACCAGCCTGGACTCCCTCTACCATGGCATTAGAGTCCCTTAGAGTCCCCATGGGCTGCCAGGTGCCTACCTCTCCAGGTCCCCCTCTGGGGTCACTCTCCAGCCAGAGGAAACCACTTACAGATCCCCAAGCCCGCCAGGTGCCTTCCCACCTCTGTGCCTTCTCTCCTTGCATTCTCTTTTCTCCTTTCTTATGGGGCTAATTCCTACTCGTTCTTTAAGCTCAGGACACACGTCATTCCCTTGGGAGGGCTGGCATGGAGACCTCCTCTGCGCTTCTCCCCAACTCTGCCAGCCCTTCCCACACAGGTTGCAAAGCCCCCCGCCCCCACTGTTTCTGTCAGCTGCATACTCTTCCCTTAATCAGATATTTACTGAGTGTAGTTCCTGCTATGGAAAGTGGTGAGGAGTTCACAGGGAAGGTGGACCTGATGCGCCCTAAGGACCACTCTGTGCGAGCAGGAGCACCCCTCTCAGCACAGCTCCTGAGACAAGGAAAGTGTCCTTGTCAGACTTTCCTCAGAACGGGAAGATCTGTTTGGAAAAGATGTAAAGTCAGTTCCCCTCATGAATATTCACATTACACATAAGCAGAGTAAGGGATCTGGGAGTTTCTGTCACAGAGACAGTCTTTGCTTGTGTTTAACCCATAATTTTCTAAAATTGCTACACCTGGGATTCCGTTTTTGGAACAGCATGTACTAAAAACCCTTGTGACCTAGGGTTCCAAGGAACATGGCTTTGAAAAACGCCAATCAAAAGGTAAAAGCACTAATTTTAAGACAGATAATAAGAGAGTCCTATAGCTCTTGCCTTATTATGGGCTGATTTGTTTAAGAAAAATACTGGCCCCTGAGAACACCAGGGGCTCAGACCCATTTGCAGTAGCTGTGCCTGGTCTCTGCTGTCGTTGGAATGGGTGGATTTGAACACAGGCTCCGCAGACAGGTGGGGCTGATCTCCTGGTCACAGCACATTTTCAGGCTGAGCCTGACAAGGTCGACAGCTGCCTGCGGGGGACTGTGTCCCAGAAGCCACGGAACCGCTGCTGACGACTCACTGTTAGTTCCCTGGTTTCTGGGGCGGGAACCTGCACTCGGCTCGTCTCTGCTGGGTTTGCACAGCTCATACCTCCTCTTCCCTTTGATCCTGAGGGTCCTCCAGGGGGCACCTCCCTGGGCACTCACAGGTCTTGGCTGGCCTCTACCTTCAGGATAAGAGGCAGGTGTTGGTCCTGGGAGTGATTGAGCTTGAAGCCCCTTCCTCCAGGGACCTCCTGCTGGGGAACAGGACGTGCTGGGCCATACATCTCTTCCTTGGATAATGGCTCTGATGTCTTTCCTCTCCATCTTCACCCATTCATTCTTCAAGGCATCCATCCATCTACCTACTTATCAACACATCCATCCATTCACTTATCCACTCATCTAGTTATCCATTTATCCATCCATCCATCCATCCATCCATCCATCCATCCATCCACCTACTCATCAACACATCCATCCATCCACTTATCCACTCATCTAGTTATCCATTTATCCATCCATCCATCCATCCATCCATCCATCCATCCATCATCCACCCAACATCCATCCATCACTCATCCATCCATTTACTCATTCATCCATTCACCCAGTCATCCATCCATCCATCCATCCATCATCCACCCAACATCCATCCATCACTCATCCATCCATTTACTCATTCATCCATTCACCCAGTTATCCATCCATCCATCCATCCATCCATCCATCCATCCATCATCCACCCAACATCCATCCATCACTCATTCATCCATTTACTCATTCATCCACTGACCCAATCATCCATCCATCCATCCATCCATCCATCCACCTACTCATCAACACATCCATCCATCCACTTATCCACTCATCTAGTTATCCATTTATCCATCCATCCATCCATCCATCCATCCATCCATCCATCCATCCATCATCCACCCAACATCCATCCATCACTCATCCATCCATTTACTCATTCATCCACTCACCCAGTCATCCATCCATCCATCCATCCATCCATCCATCCATCCTCCACCCAACATCTATCCATCACTCATCCATTTATTTACTCATTCATCCACTTACCCAGTTATCCAGCCAGCCAGCCAGCTAACCAGCCAGGCTGTGTCCAAGGTATAGGAGATGCAGCTGTGAATAAAATGCATGAAATCTCTGTCCCCATGGAGCTGACTGTCTCATAAGCACAGCTGCAGGTAGTGCCATTGTCCACATCAGTGTGCATGTGGATGGTCCTCTATTAGCTGTGCTGGACTCAGCCAGGGGGTAACACACCACAGCTCTGACGTCTGTGGGGCAAGTCACATTTTAAACAAACGTGTTTAAAAAAAAAAAGTATGTCAGACGTACTGTAATAAGCACTGTGCACACACACGTGGGTGGGGGGTGGGGTCCGCTGGCAGGGCAGTGGTGGATGGCATTCCAGACGGGCAGCCAAGGCGGGGGCTGTCAGGTAAGTGACAGAGCAGAGGCCCAAAGCACATGAGAGTGAACTTTCCCAAGATCGAGAGATTCCCGATTAAGTCAGGTCTTGCTTTTTTATGTCATTTGTTACTTTGGAAAATATGTGAGTAGTTTTATGTTAAAAGTTAAAAACTGAAAACAATTTCTGGCTTTTCCCCAATGACACTTAATACTTTCTTGGCTTTTCAGAGTGACCGGCTCCTCATCAAAGGTGGACGAATCATCAATGATGACCAGTCCTTCTACGCCGATGTCTACCTGGAAGACGGACTTATAAAGTGGGTTGAGCAAGTAGACCTTTTTATTTATTTATTCATTTTTCTTTATTGATTTCAGAGAGAGAGGAAGGGAGAGGGAGAGCAATAGGAACATTGATGAGAGAGAACATCGACTGGCCGCCTCCTGCACGCCCCCCACTGGGGACTGGGCCCACAACCTGGGCATGTGCCCTGCCCGGGAATTGAACCGGCAACTTCTTGGTGCAGGGGTCTTTGCTCAACCACTGAGCCGCACTGGCAGGGCACAAATGGACCTATTTGGAAGGCAGTCTGTCTAGGCTGTCTGGCCAGAGAGGGACTGGAAGACTGGGGCTCCGACCTGCATGGCTGTGCCGTGTTCCTGTGGATATCAGGGATGGAGTGATTTGGGTGGAGAAGGTTCTAGTGTTTACTGAGTGTCCCCCGCATGCCCAGTGCTCCACCATAGCTGTCGTGCAGGCCAGGTGCTCACGCGGAGGCTCTGACGTACACCTGCTGGTCTCTGTTCCATCTCGTGGGAGTGGTGGGCAGGGCGCTTACGTGTCTGCCCCACGGTAAGAACCAGGCACGGGCAGCACGTGAATGCCAGCCTAGCACGTCCGACTGAATCCACAGCTTTCTTCTACCTGCACAGAATCGCCGGAACGGGGTTGAGGAGCCAGGAGAGGGGGATGTTGGGCATATGGACAGAGCCTGGGCACTTAAAAGAAGGACATGCATAGGGACTGAAGTCTTTCTTCACTTTCTCCCTGTTGGCTCCCTCTCCAGCTCTCCGGTGACATCCAGGGGTTAGTCTGCTCCGGCCGCCATAACAGAATACCCCAGACTGGGCGGCTTAAGCCACAGACGTTGTTCCTCACGGTTCTGGGGGCTGGCAGTCCCGGCTGTGGGCAGGGTTGTTTTCTCTGGAGCCCTCGCTCCTGGTGTGACAGCCCCTTGCTGCTGTGTCCTCGCCTGCCCTTCTCCCTGTGCACCAGCGTTGCCAGCGTCTCTTCCTCTTCTCATAAGGACACTGGTCCCACCGGATCGGGGCCCACCCTAGCTGCCTCATTTTAACTTACTTACCTCTTTAAAGGCCCCATTTCCAAAGAGAGTCACATTCTGAGGTCCTGGTGTTAGGGCTCCATATGAATTGGGGGAGGGTCACAATTCAGCCCATAGTACTGTCTGAAAGCTTGCGGGGCGAAGGGGATTTTCACTCTGTCTCCCTGCAAACACTGTCCTCTGCACCCCTGAGCCAGTCGCTAAAAGTGTATAAAGTACTCTGCAGCGAAGGGTGTTCAGAGTCCCTTTACCTCTCAATGGAGGTGCTCGTCTCGCCTCTGTTGGACTCACCAATACTGCCACCTCCCCCTGGAAGCCTTCCCAGATAACCAGGCTGAAGCGGCCCATCTCGCGCTCCCCACCCCTCTGCTGCACTGGATTGTAACCATCTGCCTACAGGCCTTTCCTCCTCATGAAGCCACGAGCCCCTCAGGGCAGGGACCTGCCCGAGTTACCTCTGTCCACCCAGTGCCCTGTGTAGGTCCCAGCTCAGAACGTTACCTCATGGGTCTGACGCTGCACAGGTGACTCCCATTTCCCTTTTCTTTTAAGAACCGAAGCCGTCTCTGTTGTTTGTCTCCAGACAAATAGGAGAAAACTTAATCGTTCCTGGTGGAGTGAAGACCATTGAGGCCAATGGGCGGATGGTTATTCCCGGAGGCATTGATGTCAACACGTACCTGCAGAAGCCCTTCCAGGGCATGACTGCCGCCGATGACTTCTTCCAAGGGACCAGGGCGGCGCTGGCGGGCGGAACCACGATGATCAGTGAGTGGCAGCTGACCTCAGGGACCTAGACTGTGACTTCTCTTCATCACCCGCATCAGCAACACACCAGTGCTCAGCGTGCACCAGACATTCCTTTCTCAGGGTGCCATTCACTGCACTTGTCACGCAGCCCTATCGTCAAGGCCACATGTGTGCCACTGGTGGCGCGCAGCATGGCTTTAGAGGCAACACAGACACTGACGTGTTAAAGTGTTTTAATGCATATTGAAATAAAGCAACTCGCACCTCGTGGATGTGACTGCTTAGGTTGAGACTGAAATCAAACTTTAGATTTTTAGAAACTGTGAATTGATTTAAGAAAAGCATTAAGTCCAACCTGTGTGGCTCAGTGGATTGAGTATCGTCCCATGGACTGAGAGGTCTCAGTGCGATTCTCAGTCAGGGCACATGGCCAGGTTGTGGGATCGATCCCCAGTAGGGGGCATGCTGGAGGCAGTCGATCAATGTTTCTCTCTCACATCAATGTTTCTATCTCTCTCTAAAAAAATCAGTAAAAACATATTTAAAAAAAGCATTAAGAAATGTATAATATGGGTTATAGGAAGATAAAGCAAAAAATTCCTAATCATGGTGTGCAGATGGCTAAAATTTTGGAACCAGTGACATAGGTACTATTAAGACACATGGGAGTAGAAGCTCAGAGAGGTGAAGTAACCTTCTCAAGGTTATATAGCTGGGAAGTGGTTGTATTAGTCAGTATTGCTGCCATAATGCTGCATAACAAATAGTCCCCCCAACAGATGCAGTGTGGGGTAATGGGAAAGAGATACTGCAGCTAACAGGACTCTGGGAATCTCCCCCTGCCTCTGCTCATTAGTTTTGTGACCTTGGACAAGTTCCTTACCCTCTTTGAGCCTCAGTTTCTTTATATGAAAATTGGGGATATTAATATTCACATCAGAGGATGGTTGTGAGGATTTAATGAGATAATTTATGTAAAGCCTCTGTGGCAGTATCTAGTACATAACAAGCATTCAAAAAATAGTTGTGATTAGTTGTGATGCTGCTGCTGAAGATGACAGTGATAGTAATTGGTGGTGATGATGATGGTAATGAAGACTAAAGAGGGTAGTGGCAATGTCACTCTTGATGATTATGATATGGTGACAATGATGATGGTAGGAGTGATGATGAAAAGGATCATGAGGATGAGGATGTTGATCTCAATAATGGAAGTAGTGGTGATGATGGTGGTGATGATGGTGATGGTGATGATGGTGGTGATGATGGTGGTGGTGGTGGTGGTGATGATGGTGGTGTTGATGGTGATGGTGGTGATGATGGTGATGATGATGGTGATGATAATGATGATAGTGATGGTGATGATGATGGTGGTGTTGATGGTGATGGTGATGATGATGGTGGTGATGATGGTGATGATGATGGTGGTGATGATGGTGATGATGATGATGGTGATGATGCTGATGGTGGTGATGATGGTGGTGATGGTGATGATGGTGATGGTGATGATGGTGGTGGTTATGATGGTGATGGTGGTGATGATGGTGATGATGATGATGATAGTGATGGTGATGATGATGATGGTAGTGTTGATGATGGTGATGATGATGATGGGGATGGTGGTGGTGATGGTGATGGTGGTGATGATGGTGGTGGTGATGATGTTGATGATGGTGATGGTGAGGATGATCGTGAAGATACTACCATTAGAACAACTTGGGTCCTAAGCATCTTGGAATGTGACACATTTTTCTGCCCCAGTTGACCATGTGGTCCCGGAACCTGGGTCCAGCCTGCTGACCTCCTTCGAGAAATGGCATGAAGCAGCCGATACCAAATCCTGCTGCGACTACTCCCTCCATGTGGACATCACAAGCTGGTATGATGGCATTCGGGAAGAGCTGGAGGTGCTGGTGCAGGACAAAGGTCAGCTAAAGCCCCAGATGGGGGCATAGTTCTGGAATCCCTGTTTCTTTGGTGGATCTGATTGCATGCAGTTCAAATCCCTTTATCTGCATGCCTTGAGCCCAACTGTGAGCTGCATACTGCGACATAAACCGTGGAAAAGCAGGACCCTCTTTAAGGAATCTGTTCTCCCTCAGGCCTTGGCGGTACCCCCTGTTCACAGAAGAAAGCCCGATTTAATTATCTGGGCACACAAGGCCCTCACTGATCTAACCTTAGTTTTCTTTCTCTGTCATAAACGCATCTGGGTGTTTGAGGTCCTGGATGCCATCTCTTAGAACCGGTTACACTGCTGGGCCTTTGCTCATGCTGTTCCCACCAGAAGGCCCTTTCTTCTATTCTGCTACCCAGCTCAACTATCACTCTCCCCAGGTTCCCCATTCAGAACTACTTCATCTCTTGCATATCCAGAGCTGGCGACTTGGGTTCTCTTGGGGCGCCTTGGCCACTGTCCTTGGATTACAGGACACTGGTTGTCTGGCTCTTCCACGAAACCCTGAGCTCTGTGAGGGAGGAGATTGTGTCTACACATCTCTGTATCCCACTCCGCTCCCCTCTGTACGGTCTCACACCTGGTGTCTCTGCAGAGAGTAGATTCTTTACGCTGTGCATTGCGTCGAATTGAACCGAAGACGCTTGGAAGCAGAGAGCAAGAGAACAGGACGAACCGGGCACCCGTGGTCCTTCTGGAAAGGGGCAGTTGTGGAGGATGTCTGAGGAGGCAGCCCCAAATGAATGAGATGCTTCAAGGAGAACTAGGGGGTGTTTTCAGGTTTAAAATAGATACGCCATGTTTTCTCATTATAAAAGCACCATTACCACAATACAAAAAAAAAATCAGAAAATTGAGAGAAGGAAAACATTTCTTTCCTCTTGTCCTCGTCTTATCGTTCGTGCTAAGGTTTATCACCTTCCATTCCCTGTCTGTTTAGACAGGTTTCTCCTTACACAGTTATATAATAGCAGTTACGTGGAATCCTTCTCATTACTTCACACTTTATGAGGAATCATTGCTCTTCATTAATAACTTTCTAACGGCTTGTAGCATGCAGTGTAATGGTAAATTTGCTTTGCTATTTTGTTTTTATGGGGCACTTAGGTTTTCTGTGTGCTTTACTCTTAAGTCGTGTTGTGGAGAACATCTTCCTATATGAACATTAGTTTGCCTCTCTAATTATTTCCAGAAGGGAGGTTGTGAGGTCAAGGTTTTAACAATTTTCAGGATCAGAACACTCAGTGTCAAATTACTTGGCTAAAAGGCGCCCCCACCCGGGCACACCCAGGCCCCCGTCTCTCTCCCTGTGTGTTCCCACCACTGGGCGCTATTGCTTCTGGGGAGTCCTTGATGATTCTGTGGGGGGAGCCCATCTCCGTTATACATGCTGTTCTCTAATTGCTGGTTACGTTAAATATGTTGTGTGTATTTTTCCCTGTATGAATGTGCGATTGTATTCTTGCCTTGGTGAGTCGGGGTTTCTAAGTGTGCCAGCCCCCCACGTCAAGAGGCGTGGGCCCTCGGCACAGTTGCTGCGAACCGCACGCACTGTGAACCGGCTCAGCATCCCAGGACATTACGGTTTAGTGCAGGAACCTCTTCAGCTGCAGTTTCTCTTCCCCTGGCTTCAGTTATGTGCAGTCAACTTGGGTCCGAAATATTAAATGGAAAATTGTAGACATAAAAAATTCATAACTTTCAAATAGCATGCTCTTCTGAGCAGCATGATGGCACCCCATGGCACCCTGCCCCAGACGTCAGCCATCCCTCCCTGCACCCTGTCCCAGACGTCAGCCATCCCTCCGTACAGCCTGCCCCAGACGTCAGCCATCCCTCCCTGCACCCTGCCCCAGACGGCAGCCATCCCTCCCTGCACCCTGCCCCAGACGTCAGCCATCCCCCCGTGCACCCTGCCCCAGACGTCAGCCATCCCCCCGTACACCCTGCCCCAGACGTCAGCCATCCCCCCGTACACCCTGCCCCAGACGTCAGCCATCCCTCCGTACACCCTGCCCCAGACGGCAGCCATCCCTCCCTGCACCCTGCCCCAGACGTCAGCCATCCCTCCGTACACCCTGCCCCAGACGTCAGCCATCCCTCCGTACACCCTGCCCCAGACGTCAGCCATCCCTCCCTGCACCCTGCCCCAGACGTCAGCCATCCCTCCATACACCCTGCCCCAGACGGCAGCCATCCCTCCCTGCACCCTGCCCCAGACGTCAGCCATCCCTCCGTACACCCTGCCCCAGACGTCAGCCATCCCTCCCTGCACCCTGCCCCAGACGTCAGCCATCCCTCCGTACACCCTGCCCCAGACGTCAGCCATCCCTCCATACACCCTGCCCCAGACGTCAGCCATCTGTTCATACACCCTGCCCCAGACAGCAGCCATCCCTCCCTGCACCCTGCCCCAGACGTCAGCCATCCCTCCGTACACCCTGCTCCAGACGGCAGCCATCCCTCCCTGCACCCTGCCCCAGACGTCAGCCATCCCTCCGTACACCCTGCCCCAGACGTCAGCCATCCCTCCATACACCCTGCCCCAGACGTCAGCCATCCCTCCGTACACCCTGCCCCAGACGTCAGCCATCTGTTCATACACCCTGCCCCAGACAGCAGCCATCCCTCCCTGCACCCTGCCCCAGACAGCAGCCATCCCTCCCTGCACCCTGCCCCAGACGGCAGCCATCCCTCCCTGCACCCTGCCCCAGACAGCAGCCATCCCTCCCTGCACCCTGCCCCAGACAGCAGCCATCCCTCCCTGCACCCTGCCCCAGACGGCAGCCATCCCTCCCTGCACCCTGCCCCAGACGGCAGCCATCCCTCCCTGCACCCTGCCCCAGACGTCAGCCATCCCTCCCTGCACCCTGCCCCAGACGTCAGCCATCCCTCCCTGCACCCTGCCCCAGACGTCAGCCATCCCTCCGTACAGCCTGCCCCAGACGGCAGCCATCCCTCTCTACACCCTGCCGGCCCCTCAGTGGCGGGGGACACTGATTGGTGATCAACTTGGCTGTGGCAGTATCGCAAGCGTGTGTTCGAGTCCCTTATTGTACTTCCCAGTGGCCCTGGAATGCAGGGGTGGTGCTGCTGGCAATCTGGATTTCCCAAAGAGAAGCTGTCAGGTGCTTCCTCCCAGTGAACAGGAGAAAGCTCTTGACTTAATAAGAACAAGGGGCTGGATGTGGACCTCGGGGGTTCCCTGCCGTGCTGCGTGGCAGTGACGGTGACAAGCTCGATCCAGGAGCACCAGGTGGCAGAGTCCCTGGCACCAACTCTGACGTTTTCCTTTCTAGAACGGGCAGATTTACCATCTCTGTCTGTCTGTCTGTCTGTCTCTCTGTCTCTCTCACTCTCTGTCTCTCTCTCACTGTCTCTCTCTCTCTGTCTCTCTCTGTCTCTCTCTCTCTGTCTCTCTCTCTCTCTGTCTCTCTCAGTGTCTCTCTCTCACTGTGTCTCTCTCTCTCTGTCTCTCTCAGTGTCTCTCTCTCACTGTGTCTCTCTCTGTCTCTCTCAGTGTCTCTCTCTCACTGTCTCTCTCTGTCTCTCTCAGTGTCTCTCTCTCACTGTCTCTCTCTGTCTCTCTCAGTGTCTCTCTCTCACTGTCTCTGTCTCTCTCTGTCTCTCTCACTGTCTCTCTCACTCTCTGTCTCTCTCTGTCTCTTCTCACAAGTGCACAATGAGGGGACTGTCACATGCTCTACAGGAAGCAGCAGGGTGTGGAAAGCCCCCAGCAGTCTGGGCACCTGGGATCAAGTACCACCCTCGCACTTCTTGGCCTTGTGACATTGGGCATTCACCTCACTGACCTCTCTGAGGCTGTCTCGTCGGCTCCTCCTCCTCCGTAGCATCGGGGCCATGGGAGGGCGTGATCCCGCAGTTAGTTCCCTAGCCAGAAGAAGGAAGCAGCCCATGCCCGTCTGTGGGTGAATGGACGTACAAAATACGGTCTGTCCACACGATGGAATGTTATTCGGCCTTAAAAAAGGATTTTCTGTCACTCACCACGCCATGGATGAACCTTCAGGACACGCTGCGTTGAAACAAGCCACTCGTAAAGGGGCAGAGGCTGTGTGGTTGCTCCCTAGGAGTCTGGGGGAGTCAGATTCAGAGAGAGAGCAGAATGCTGGGTGCCAGGGCTGGGGCAGGGGCACTTGGGGTCTGTTTCATGGGGACAGGGTTGCAGTTTTGCCAACAGGAAGAGTTCTGGAGATGGTGGAGGGGATGGTCGCAGTCCGGTGCGGATGTACTTCCTGCCCCTGAGCTGGACCCTAAGCAGTGGTTTGTGGACGAAAAGGGGGTTCTGTGGAAAGTAACCTCACAGGGTGATCCGATCATAAATCCCTAACTGGGCAGGTCACGGAGGGTAGTCTCCCTCAGGCATGTAACTTCTTTAGTAAAGGGCTCATCTTTGCCTGAAGCCAGCCCTGCCGCAGTGTCTGTGCCTCTGGGTAAACATGCCTTTGATGTCATGCGCCACCCTCGAGAGAGTGCGCGACCTTGTTAACTGTCCTGCGATCCCTTCCTGCCACCGACACCAAGGAGATGCCAACGTGAGAAACGTCCAAACCTGTAGAGAATTTTCGTAAGAGTTTATTTGAACCAAAGGGATGACAGATTTGGGGAGCATTTGAGATCTTGCTCCCCGGCACATGTCACCCATCTGGTTCAAGTCAACTCAAAAATGCTCTGAGGGTTTGGACGTTCCTTAGGCCGACAGGTTAAGACGGCACGTCCCACCCACGTTCTGTGTGTTTTACCACAACCGGTAAGAAAGAGCAGGTGTTGCTTTGCTCACAGCTCGGTGGGCGGGGCCAGGGGGGCTCAGCTGAGCTGCTCTGCTGCTCACCCGCCTGGGGCCCCCCGGGACTTGGGGCTGGGGCGCCTCTCTCCAGGCTGCAGCCGCTGTCCTGTGCTCCTCCGCTGTGGTTCCGAGAGGCTGAGAGTGACCTGCCCGCCCTCTGTGGCCGAGGCTTGGGCACCGCCACCTCTTGTCACTGTTGGCCAGGGCAGACCTCGACACCAGCCCATGTTCAAGGGCTGGTTGGGGAAACACACTCACACTCTGAATGGTAGTCGCTGCAAAACTTCCATGAAACTTTAAAAAATTAGCAGCCCGTGTAATGTCTTCCTATGTCTTATCCAAGAGATGATATTATTTGTTTGCTTCGTGCTTATTCCCAGTAGAATGTAGACAGGGGTCCTTCCTACCTTGTGTCTTGAGCTTCTAGAATGATGCTCACACACAGGAAGTCATCAGTAAATATCGGATGAGTGAGGTGGTAAGTGTTCCGTGAAAAGAGACTTCTGGGAAGTGCGCGCTGTTTACTGTCTTCTCGAACATTCTCAGCACACATGACCATGCAAACACCCTGCCGTTAAGAAACCTGTTGATTGTTGACGAATCCAGGTTTTCTTTGCCGACACAGACAGCGACATCCCCGCGTTGAGTGCAAACCACAGAGTCCCCCAGAGCTTGGCTGAAACTAAACAAGTGGGTTCGCTTTGGGCTGGAGATGTAACCCCAGGATCCTGTGCGGGGAGGTCTTTGCTCACCTAAGTTTTTCTCTCTGTGCCAGCTTCGTTCTCCCCACACCCTCCCCCTGCCCCCTCCCTCATCCCCACGGCGGTACGGAGCAGCCCATCCTTTGAGCGGGTGGACATCTGTTGTGGAGACCGGCCAGGTGCCCTTTGGTATGACCTGGGCTCAGTCTCTCCTGGTGGCTCAGCTGAGCATCAGGTACCCATCCACCAGCGGGCAGGGCCACAGGGTATGGACGTGGCTGCTTCCGGGCACAGGTGCAGAGGGGAAAGGGTACTTGCTAGAAAATGTAACAGTTCTGAGAACTGGGGGTGTGATGAATGGGCTGACGATGCAACAGGTGATCAGTCCATGGGTTAGGAGTGGGGTTCTGTGCTGCTCTCTGGGAGAACGGTGAGGATGGCCGGGGTGAGTGGGGAGCGCTGTGAGTACCAGGGCTGCTACACGGAGGGACTCATTTTGAGGCATATTCTCTAGCATTGGACAACGTACTTTTTATTTTTGAAATTTAAAAAATATTTTTAATTTTTATTCTCATGACCAAAGAAGTTTATTTACAGTCCACCCAGGTGTTTAAGCCAGACGCCCAGAAGTGTCCTATATTCTTACCTCCAGTGTGTCAGAAAGCCCGTGTTTTCTGTTCCCCGAGTGTACCCACTCTCTCCACCTCCGCGGCTCCCCCCGTTCGAGGTGCCACCGCTGGGCAACTCTGTACAAGGGGCTGCAATCCGAGCTTTGAACTTGAGTTACTTTGACCACAAATATGACCACATCTTTTTCTTATCTTCAGTAGGTAGCCATATTTTCTTCTTAAATTGTCTAAGACTACTGTTTGCCTTTAGTGTTCTTTGCTTCTTTGCTGTTACTTTAATCTTTTTTGGTGGTTGTTGTTTTTTGTTAATTCTCACCCTGAAGTAATTTTCCATTGATTTTTTTTTTAAGAGAGAGTGGAAAGGATGGGGGAGGGGGATCAAACTTTCAACCCAGGTATGTGCCCTTGAACAGGAATCGAACCTGAGACCCTTTGGTCTGAGAGCCGACGCTCTAGCTGCTGAGCCAAACCAGCCAGGGCTATTTGAATCTTTTAAACAAACCTAGACCAGATACAGAAAACCACACAAAGCAAAAATGTGGTTTTATGAGTTATTATGAGGTTACTCCAGTCAGTTAGAAAATTGAAGTGTACCCCACAGTCCCTTCTGGGTCCCAGTCCCAGTCACCCCCCTCCCCCCGCAGTAACCACTGTCCGGTGTTTTCAAACCTCTGCTGACTTTGTCGCAGATTTGTTTACGTTGTTGGGTTTTGCTTTTTATTTTGAGTTTTTAAGAATTAACATAGAGAAGGTTTTCATTTATAACAAGGCACATCTGGCATGATTTTTTTCACAGGAGTTTTTAATCTGAGGTAGTTTCACCTTATCTCCCCACCCCAAGTACTGGTTCTAGGGTGTTTTCATTATATCTACCATGTTATCCAATTATTATTTCTGCTTTTATTTACATTGTTTACTTCTCATTTCTGGAAATTTTCATTTCTTTTAAAATGTTTTATCATGGAAACTTCCTCTTCCCCTCCCCTTTAAAAAATCGTGAAGCAGCCTAGCTGATGTGGCTCAGTGGTTGAGCATCAACCCAGGCACCAAGAGGTCACTGGTTCGATTCCCGGTCAGGGCACCTGCCCAGGTTGTGGGCCTGATCCCCAGTGTGGGCATGCAGGAGATGGCCAGTTGATGTTCTCTCTCATCGATGTTTCTATCTCTCTCTCCCTCTCCCTTCCTCTCTCTCTAAAAATAAAGAAAAATAAATAAAACATATATATAAAAAAATAGTGAAACATTTAAGGCTATGAATTTACCTCTCACTTTGGTTTCACCTGTGTGCCCCTTGATATTTTGTCTGTGACTGATATACTGAGCGTTTGTTTTTGTATTTTAAAAAGGGTTTATCATGTGTAGCTGGTGTGGCTCAGGGATTGAGCTCCCTCCAATAGACTGAGAGGTCCCGGTTCGATTCCTGGTCAGGGCACATGCCCGGTTGCAGGCTTGATCCCCAGTAGGAGGTGTGCAGGAGGCAGCCAATTGATGTTTTTCTCTCATATCGATGTTTCCTTTCTCTCTCTCTAAAAAAAAAAAAAAGGGCTTATCTTTACAAGGAATATAATATCAACTAATTATCCTATTTTTATTTATGCCTACTTAATTAATTAGAAATGGATACTTTTATATCAATCTCTGAGGATTATTTTTTCTTTTAATTTTTCCAGATTTTTTTAGGGGGGAGGAGAAGGAAAATTTTTGTTGCTGAGCCATTTCACACAAGAAAAGCTTGTTGGCTTGTCTTCACTATTGCTCAGTATAACAGAAGTCCAATCCATTTACTCCTTTAGCCTTACATTCTTCATTTTTTTATCAGTGTTTTCTGATATCATTAACAAACATTACCTGCACAGTGCGTGTTATGAATGTGCAGGACGGAATAATGTAGAAGATGGGGTCCTTGTCTTCAAGCCACTCGAAGGTGAATTCGGGTCAAGTTCTCCCTCCCACCCCCCCTCCCTGTCCCTGCATCTCCTGACCTGGCCTATAGCCTCCTCATCCTCCTGCCTGCCTCCGTTTCTCCTTGCTGTTCTGCCCAGCCATTCTCCACTCTGCTTTCAGAAGAGTTTTTCTGAGACAGAAAGTCTGCCCACGTCACTGCCTGGAGCGCGTGGGCCGCACTGTAGATAGCAGTGACGGCTGTCTGTGAACGCCCTGCGTGTCGCTGAGCTGGACACTAAAATGGCTGTGACTGCGCACTTTGTCATTGGTATTTTACCATAAGAAAAAATACAGGGAACTCTGGCCTGTGTGGCTTAGCTGGTTGGCCATCGTCCCGGCCACCCAAAGGTTTCAGGCTTGATCCCAGGTAGGGGGCCTGCAGGAGGGTGCCGATCCATGTGTCGCGCTCACATTGATGTTTCTCGCTCTCCTTCTCCCTTCCTCTCTCTCAAAAAATCAGTAAAAAATCTTCACAAAAAATAGAGGGGATTAAATAAAAACCCACATGCTCCCTTCGCTTCAGCCACAGGACACTGTCTAGTACCCGTATACCTAGTGGCCCTTATGTTCCCACTGTCCATGTCCCTGCACGACCCTCCCTCTCAGCCGACAGTTCCCCTTCCTCTTCCCCCTCCTCCCCTTCACCTCCCTCCTCCCCTTCCCCTCCCTTCTCCCCTTCCAACTCCCCCTTCTCCCTCCCCTCTCCTCCTCTTCCTCCTCCTTTAGATTCAGCTCAGGTGTGACCCCCCCGAGGCCTCCTTTGTCCCATGCCCACGCACCCAGGCTGGGCATGTGCCCTCACTGAATTCTGATGGCCCCCTTCTGTCCTTGGCTACTCTGTACTGTGCTTATCAGTTTACAGGAAAGACATGCTTCATGTTTCTTAAATACATTTTTAAATTGATTTTAGAGAGAGAAAAAGGGGGGGGGGAGAGAGAGAAACATCAATGTGAGAGAGAAACATCGATTGGTTGCCTCCTGTACACGTGTTGACTGGGGATTGAGCCTGCAACCTGGGCATGTGCCCTGACCAGGAACCCAACCAGAGAGCTTCTGGTGCATGGGACGATGCTCAGCCAACTGAGCCACACCAGCCAGGGCTTAAATGCATTTTTCTGTTCTCTTTTTTATCTTGAACAGGCGTCAACTCCTTCCAAGTCTACATGGCCTATAAGGGTCTCTACCAAATGTCCGATAGCCAGGTAAGTCCTCCTGCACACCTGCTTCGTTCTCGTGTCTGCTCCACCGAAGCCCTGGTTGTAGACGGAGCCCAGCAGACCTTGGGTGCAGGTCCTCGAAAGTGCGTCACGTCTCCCGGTGCCTCCCCCGCTCTCTGCACCTGAAAGCACACGGTGTGTGTGAGGGGGCGTTGTCTTGCACATGTGGAGAACAAAGATAGGATTGAGAGCTCCGGAGAGCGAACACGGTGGCTTTGGTCCTCACGGGTGTGAAGGTCGGATTGCAGCTGCTTCAGGGGTGGGAGGAGGAACTGGGTAGTGGAAGAGGCCCGTATTAGCTAAATCCGGTGATGCTGGGCAGGTTGTATATTATGTGAGTATTAGCGTTACTGGAGAACATGGCCCCTCCTCCACCCCACTGTGATCTATCGAATGACATGGGTTACAACGTTGTAAAGAGGTATGCGTCTCCCGAGGTATGTGGGTGATTACGGGACAGGCTTAGTTTAGCAGGTTTAATTTTGCAATTTCAATAAAACAAAAGATGACTTCTCAGTGGTCACTGCCAACAGGCACTACGATGGAGCAAATCCAAACAAAGCCAAAGGCAGGGACAGGCACCGGGACCGAGAGTGCAGTCCTGCCCCACCCCGGCTCCTCAGGGGCAAGGGCAGATCCTTCCCAAGGCTGTGTGCATTGAACGAGACGTTCCATTGCTGCTTCTACCAGGGCCAGTGAGCGGTGGTGTGAGCAGAGGAGCGGTCTTTGCAATGACCCTGCTTGGCATTTTGATCTCACCCCAACCCCTGTGTATCCCTCCTCAGCTCTACGAAGCCTTCACCTTCCTTAAGGGGCTGGGCGCTGTGATCTTGGTGCACGCGGAAAATGGAGATTTGATAGCTCAGGTGAGTGGTGTGCAGTCTGCTCCTTGCTGCGATGAGATTGCAGAGGGTGTGGGCACCGAGTAGGGAGGTGACTGGGCAGTGACACCAAGCCAAGAAGTGGATGGCATATCAGATACTCCAGGCATCAGGCGCACACACACCATCTGCAGCGAGGCCTTTCCCAGTCCACATTGCCTCAGGAATCTGTTTGCTCATCTGTACAATGGGGGCAACATAACTGCCCTTCAGACCTTGGAGGGTATGGTCCTTTGCCTAATCTGCAGGGACAAGGGATTACACAAGGGTGTAGAGACCAGGAGGAGGCTGACTGGGAGCCTCTTGGAAGTCACCTACCACACACAGCTCAGTTTTACCTGGTTTCAAACTTTATAAAAATAGAACCATACAGTGTGTGCTATTATATCTGGCTTCTTTTGATCAGTGCTAGGTCTGTGAGATTCATTTCTGTTGACTCAAAGCAATAGCCTTTTATTTTTCATCCCAGTGTAGAATCCCACTGTGGGAGGATGTCACAATGTGTCCTCCTGTAGAATCCGACTGTGGGAGGATGTCACAATGTGTCCTCCTGTAGAATCCCGCTGTGGGAGGATGTCACAATGTGTCCTCCTGTAGAATCCCTCTGTGGGAGGCTGTCACAGTGTGTCCTCCTGTAGAATCCCTCTGTGGGAGGATGTCACTATGTGTCCACCTGTAGAATCCCTCTGTGGGAGTATATCACAATGTGTCCTCCTGTAGAATCCCTCTGTGGGAGTATATCACAGTGTGTCCTCCTGTAGAATCCCACTGTGGGAGTATATCACAATGTGTCCTCCTGTAGAATCCCTCTGTGGGAGTATATCACAATGTGCCCTCCTGTAGAATCCCTCTGTGGGAGTATATCACAATGTGTCCTGCTGTAGAATCCCTCTGTGGGAGGATGTCACAATGTGTTCTCCTGTAGAATCCCTCTGTGGGAGGATGTCACAGTGTGTCCTCCTGTAGAATCCGACTGTGGGAGGATGTCACAATGTGTCCTCCTGTAGAATCCCGCTGCGTGAGGATGTCACAATGTGTCCTCCTGTAGAATCCCTCTGTGGGAGGATGTCACAATGTGTCCTCCTGTAGAATCCCTCTGTGGGAGTATATCACAGTGTGTCCTCCTGTAGAATCCCGCTGCGTGAGGATGTCACAGTGTGTCCTCCTGTAGAATCCCTCTGTGGGAGGATGTCACAATGTGTCCTCCTGTAGAATCCCTCTGTGGGAGGATATCACAGTGTGTCCTCCTGTAGAATCCCTCTGTGGGAGTATATCACAATGTGTCCTCCTGTAGAATCCCTCTGTGGGAGTATATCACAATGTGTCCTCCTGTAGAATCCCTCTGTGGGAGTATACCACAATGTGTCCTCCTGTAGAATCCCTCTGTGGGAGGATATCACAATGTGTCCTCCTGTAGAATCCCTCTGTGGGAGGATGTCACAATGTGTCCTCCTGTAGAATCCCTCTGTGGGAGGATGTCACAATGTGTCCTCCTGTAGAATCCCTCTGTGGGAGTATATCACAATGTGTCCTCCTGTAGAATCCCGCTGTGGGAGTATATCACAATGTGTCCTCCTGTAGAATCCCTCTGTGGGAGTATATCACAATGTGTCCTCCTGTAGAATCCCTCTGTGGGAGTATATCACAATGTGTCCTCCTGTAGAATCCCTCTGTGGGAGTATATCACAATGTGTCCTCCTGTAGAATCCCTCTGTGGGAGGATGTCACAATGTGTCCTCCTGTAGAATCCCTCTGTGGGAGGCTGTCACAGTGTGTCCTCCTGTAGAATCCCTCTGTGGGAGTATATCACAATGTGTCCTCCTGTAGAATCCCGCTGTGGGAGTATATCACAATGTGTCCTCCTGTAGAATCCCTCTGTGGGAGGATGTCACAATGTGTCCTCCTGTAGAATCCCGCTGTGGGAGTATATCACAGTGTGTCCTCCTGTAGAATCCCTCTGTGGGAGGATGTCACAGTGTGTCCTCCTGTAGAATCCCTCTGTGGGAGGCTGTCACAGTGTGTCCTCCTGTAGAATCCCTCTGTGGGAGGATGTCACAATGTGTCCTCCTGTAGAATCCCTCTGTGGGAGGATGTCACAATGTGTCCTCCTGTAGAATCCCTCTGTGGGAGTATATCACAATGTGTCCTCCTGTAGAATCCCTCTGTGGGAGTATATCACAATGTGTCCTCCTGTAGAATCCCTCTGTGGGAGGATGTCACAATGTGTCCTCCTGTAGAATCCCTCTGTGGGAGTATATCACAATGTGTCCTCCTGTAGAATCCCACTGTGGGAGTATATCACAATATGTCCTCCTGTAGAATCCCTCTGTGGGAGTATATCACAATGTGTCCTCCTGTAGAATCCCTCTGTGGGAGTATATCACAATGTGTCCTCCTGTAGAATCCCTCTGTGGGAGGCTGTCACAATGTGTCCTCCTGTAGAATCCCTCTGTGGGAGTATATCACAATGTGTCCTCCTGTAGAATCCCTCTGTGGGAGGATATCACAATGTGTCCTCCTGTAGAATCCCTCTGTGGGAGGATATCACAATGTGTCCTCCTGTAGAATCCCTCTGTGGGAGTATATCACAATGTGTCCTCCTGTAGAATCCCTCTGTGGGAGGATATCACAATGTGTCCTCCTGTAGAATCCCTCTGTGGGAGTATATCACAATGTGTCCTCCTGTAGAATCCCTCTGTGGGAGTATGTCACAGTGTGTCCTCCTGTAGAATCCCTCTGTGGGAGGCTGTCACAGTGTGTCCTCCTGTAGAATCCCTCTGTGGGAGGCTGTCACAATGTGTCCTCCTGTAGAATCCCTCTGTGGGAGGATGTCACAATGTGTCCTCCTGTAGAATCCCTCTGTGGGAGTATATCACAATGTGTCCTCCTGTAGAATCCCTCTGTGGGAGGATGTCACAATGTGTCCTCCTGTAGAATCCCTCTGTGGGAGTATATCACAATGTGTCCTCCTGTAGAATCCCACTGTGGGAGTATATCACAATGTGTCCTCCTGTAGAATCCCTCTGTGGGAGTATATCACAATGTGTCCTCCTGTAGAATCCCTCTGAGGGAGTATATCACAATGTGTCCTCCTGTAGAATCCCACTGTGGGAGTATATCACAATGTGTCCTCCTGTAGAATCCCTCTGTGGGAGTATATCACAATGTGTCCTCCTGTAGAATCCCACTGTGGGAGTATATCACAATGTGTCCTCCTGTAGAATCCCTCTGTGGGAGTATATCACAATGTGTCCTCCTGTAGAATCCCTCTGTGGGAGTATATCACAATGTGTCCTCCTGTAGAATCCCTCTGTGGGAGTATATCACAATGTGTCCTCCTGTAGAATCCCACTGTGGGAGTATATCACAATGTGTCCTCCTGTAGAATCCCTCTGTGGGAGTATATCACAATGTGTCCTCCTGTAGAATCCCACTGTGGGAGTATATCACAATGTGTCCTCCTGTAGAATCCCTCTGTGGGAGTATATCACAATGTGTCCTCCTGTAGAATCCCTCTGTGGGAGTATATCACAATGTGTCCTCCTGTAGAATCCCTCTGTGGGAGTATATCACAATGTGTCCTCCTGTAGAATCCCATTGTGGGAGTATATCACAATGTGTCCTCCTGTAGAATCCCTCTGTGGGAGGATGTCACAGTGTGTCCTCCTGTAGAATCCCTCTGTGGGAGGATATCACAGTGTGTCCTCCTGTAGAATCCCTCTGTGGGAGTATATCACAATGTGTCCTCCTGTAGAATCCCTCTGTGGGAGGATGTCACAGTGTGTCCTCCTGTAGAATCCCTCTGTGGGAGGCTGTCACAGTGTGTCCTCCTGTAGAATCCCTCTGTGGAGGATGTCACAATGTGTCCTCCTGTAGAATCCCTCTGTGGGAGGATGTCACAATGTGTCCTCCTGTAGAATCCCTCTGTGGGAGTATATCACAATGTGTCCTCCTGTAGAATCCCTCTGTGGGAGGATGTCACAATGTGTCCTCCTGTAGAATCCCTCTGTGGGAGTATATCACAATGTGTCCTCCTGTAGATCCCACTGTGGGAGTATATCACAATGTGTCCCTCCTGTAGAATCCCTCTGTGGGAGTATATCACAATGTGTCCTCCTGTAGAATCCCTCTGTGGGAGTATATCACAATGTGTCCTCCTGTAGAATCCCACTGTGGGAGTATATCACAGTGTGTCCTCCTGTAGAATCCCTCTGTGGGAGTATATCACAATGTGTCCTCCTGTAGAATCCCTCTGTGGGAGTATATCACAGTGTGTCCTCCTGTAGAATCCCTCTGTGGGAGGCTGTCACAGTGTGTCCTCCTGTAGAATCCCTCTGTGGGAGGATGTCACAATGTGTCCTCCTGTAGAATCCCACTGTGGGAGTATATCACAATGTGTCCTCCTGTAGAATCCCTCTGTGGGAGTATATCACAATGTGTCCTCCTGTAGAATCCCTCTGTGGGAGTATATCACAATGTGTCCTCCTGTAGAATCCCTCTGTGGGAGGATGTCACAATGTGTCCTCCTGTAGAATCCCTCTGTGGGAGTATATCACAATGTGTCCTCCTGTAGAATCCCACTGTGGGAGTATATCACAATGTGTCCTCCTGTAGAATCCCTCTGTGGGAGTATATCACAATGTGTCCTCCTGTAGAATCCCTCTGTGGGAGTATATCACAATGTGTCCTCCTGTAGAATCCCTCTGTGGGAGTATATCACAATGTGTCCTCCTGTAGAATCCCGCTGTGGGAGTATATCACAATGTGCCCTCCTGTAGAATCCCTCTGTGGGAGTATATCACAGTGTGTCCTCCTGTAGAATCCCGCTGTGGGAGTATATCACAGTGTGTCCTCCTGTAGAATCCCTCTGTGGGAGTATATCACAGTGTGTCCTCCTGTAGAATCCCTCTGTGGGAGGATATCACAATGTGTCCTCCTGTAGAATCCCTCTGTGGGAGTATATCACAGTGTGTCCTCCTGTAGAA